AAACCTGAGATGTTCAAGCGCGCTGAAATATTTTTCTATCTATAATTTTCCCCACATTGAATTGCTGCACAACACCCTTATTGCCGTAAAAGCGTTGCTTGCAACACTAGTGCTTTATGGGGACCAAATTTGGTGAAAAAAATAGCTAAGTTTGTTTACTGGATATACTGATGTTGTATGTCCAGACCACCATTTATACTAGCCGTCATCGATTCGCCAACAGTTAGCGAGTAGCGAAACGAACGAACTCAATGAGGTACAACCAAACTCGCTATCGTCTATCCGTGCTAGCTACCTTTGTTGTTGCTTTCACATGCAACATTTTTCGTTAAGCTACCGGAACTCAAACATAGCAAGCAGCGAAGTGACGAATCGATGACGGCTACTATATATGTAGCAAGGCTATTTATGCCAAATTCTAGATATCAACCTCGTTGTAGGCATCACATCAAAGAGATACAAGTAGAAGACTCTAGATGTCGCCCCGCCAGAAGAAATTAAATATTGCGCCTAAATATATGCACTATATATATACGCTACATCGGAACTGGACGACACGCCATTTCTTTAAATGAAATTAACTGCTGCTATATGTATGTATGTACATATGTATGCATGTATTTGTGTGTTTATACTAAACGTGAGCAAACATTTTGCTTGCATAGTCTTCTGTTCTCTTTTCACTGCAAGTTGAATTTTTTTCCACGTTTTCGTTTTCAATCTCATAAGTGGTTTATAATGACTTTTGCTAAAATTTCAAAAATTATCAAAACAAATTCTATGGGACTGAGAAATATTATTTACTAATTTTTAGTCCGTTTATAAGAGCGTTGGGTATTAAAAAGTTTTTTATTTTATTTTATTTTATTTATTTTTATTCAATCTAATCAGATTTGTACAAAAATTCATAAATTTACACCCAGTTATAGACCAGTGTGCTACTTGAGTATGTTCCTACTAAAAAGTGGTGGCTTTTAAAGGTAACATATTGAAACTAAGAACTCTTTGTGTTATCGATTTAAAAGTGGCAGAATATCTTTAAAAAAAAATAATTAAGATTATTTTTAAATGCTGGCTTTGCATCTTTTCATAAGTGAAAAATAATTTTTCTTAAAACTTTCTACATAGGCCCGCTTAGAGGACAGTGGAAAATATCTTTGTTGGGTAAACAACACTGCCGGAGAGGAAACAATACAGGTGTCATTAACGGTAACTGGTAAGTAACACAAAAATGCAAGAATACATTCATAATATGAATTTCGTATGTAAATATCCAAATTATATGATGATCAAATAGTCAGGCAGAATGTCAAACATGCTCTTTTCTAAAGCGTATTCCAAATCAACCCTCACCAAACCTGCCCCTAAATGTATTTAAAAGTAACAATAAATACACGCAGAAAAATGGTAAAGTTATAATTACCAAGATTTGGTTATAGTGACCAAATAGTTGGATATGGCGAAACAAAATATCTAGTTGGCGAAATTTACTTCATCTTGATTGGACAATATTGTTGTCTTGTTTGATACAAGTTATCAATTACTTTTATGGACTTTTTTTTATTATTACCAATAATGAGTTTGACATAAATAAAAATTAACTCAATGGTTGTAGTGTTGCTAGATTTATTATTTTCTTAATTTAATTGAAATCAATATTAAGCATAAACAAGTAAGAACAGCGCTGTCTTCGGCTATGCCGAAGGCTTCATACCTTTTATGAGCATCTGAAAATATTTATTTAACAGATTACTGCATTTGAAAAAATGTATATATTTACAGCATACATAGATAGAGGAGATACATATAAAAAAAATCATATCTAAACAATCAGAGGTATGGAAGGTATAACTTATATATCACCAATCTAAGTGATTTTGACTGCTGTGTGATCGGTATGTAAACCGGTAACAGAATTTAGTAGGTTTAGCTTCCTANCTTATATAGCACCAATCTAAGTGATTTTGACTGCTGTGTGATCGGTATGTAAACCGGTAACAGAATTTAGTAGGTTTAGCTTCCTACATAAAGGAGATATATCGCAAAAATTGGTATCTGAACAATCAGTGGTATAAGAGATAAAGCTTATGCAGTATAGATTTTGACGATTTTCTCAGTAGACTTTGTATTATTATTTATAAAAAAACCTTACGAAATTTATCGGTAAAGGAGTTTTACAGTAAAGCCCCATATCTGAACAATCAGTTGAAGGGAGCTAATAAATAGGTTATAGTGACCCGATTTTGATAATTTTATTGTAAACTTTCTGTTGATAATGAGCGAAAATAGTGCGAAATTTCATGTTTATAGCTGCATATATGGAGAAGTTATAACAAAGAATCTCATTTCTGAAAAATCAGTTGTGTGGAGGCTATAGGTTATATCGACCCGATCTTTCGAAATACTTCGAAATTTCATGTTCCCATCTGCATAGATGGAGGAGGTATAACAATGAATCGCATATCTGAAGNTCAGTAGACTTTGTATTATTATTTATAAAAAAACCTTACGAAATTTATCGGTAAAGGAGTTTTACAGTAAAGCCCCATATCTGAACAATCAGTTGAAGGGAGCTAATAAATAGGTTATAGTGACCCGATTTTGATAATTTTATTGTAAACTTTCTGTTGATAATGAGCGAAAATAGTGCGAAATTTCATGTTTATAGCTGCATATATGGAGAAGTTATAACAAAGAATCTCATTTCTGAAAAATCAGTTGTGTGGAGGCTATAGGTTATATCGACCCGATCTTTCGAAATACTTCGAAATTTCATGTTCCCAGCTGCATAGATGGAGGAGGTATAACAATGAATCGCATATCTGAAGAATCAGTTGTATGGGAGCTATATGTAAAAGTGGCCCGATCTTTGTTATTTTCACTGTAATTATTCTGTTGATAATGCGTATAAGTATTGCAAAATTTGATGTTTCTAGCTGCATGAATGGAGGAGTTATAACGAAACTTCTCATAACTGAACAATCAGTTGTAGGCGAGATATATGTTATAGTGATCCGATCTTTGTAATTTTCACTTTGATTTTTCTGTTGATAATGGGTGGAAGTGTTGCAAAGTTTCATGTTCCTAGCTGCATAAATAGAGAAGTTATAACGAAAAATCTCATGTCTGAACAATCAGTTGTATGGGAGCTATATGTTATAGTGGTCCGATTCTTACGGTTCCGACAAATGATTAACACATTATAAAAATACACCCACCTACCAAATTTCATCCGGATATCTCGAAAACTGAGAGACTAGATTGCATACAAACAGACGGACAGACGGACATGGCTAAATCGACTCAGCTCGACGTTCTGATCATTTAAGTATACATTTTATCTCTTCTTATTCTGGTACTTACAAACATCGGACCAAAGTTATAATACCATTTCATGCTCATGAAAGGTATAAAAATACATACATAAATAAATATTTTTTAGTGTATTTAGTAAAAACCAGTGCCGTAATAGCAGTAATAAGAAATATATTGGTTTACTCCTTATGCACGTAGCATTCCTCTTTCAGCTTGATCTTTTGAGTTGAAATTTCAAAGGATAATCGTTATTTACCGGTCCCTGTGCATAATACATATGCATATGGTAGGTATTTCGTAAAAAGAAACGATAAAACAGTAACAGTTGTGAAACCCCGGTCAATGTCTGCTGGTTTACGTAACTGCGTTGTCTTCTCATTATCTACATACCGGGCTTGCCAACTTTCAAAACGCTTAAGGGAGGACAAAATAATGTTTAATCAGGACTTGGTATGAAGACGTCTTTGCTTCAGGAGAACACAACATTCTTTTCGTTTCTCAAACAATGAGGAGAAAGGCCACTCCAAAAAATAAGATCCTTTTGTCTATTTTGGTACGTTCATTTATTAAAAAAAAAACTCAACAATGAGCCATTCTACTTCTAGAAGTAGAAAACAAAAAAAAAGGTACATAAATAGTCTTTCCTTACGAAGAGTAGCACATCTCAAATTACCGTGGAAGGCTACCAGGTTTCACTACTCGGATAGCACATTTCAGATTGTCGCGTGGGTTGCGTGATTTTGAATTAGTAAAATCACAAATCCATAAATCAAATTTATATCTGAATTGAAATTTGCATCAAATCCTAAACACATTTGTGATTTGATTTGATTTGTCAACCAAATAAAAAATAAAATGTACTTGTGATTACATTCTTCGTCCAAATACGATATCAAATTTTTTTATGATTTGATTCGGCAACCAAATAAAAACAGGTAATTTTTAAACAAAAAAACTAAAAAGTTCTCATATAAAAATTATGAGTACTGTTAATGTTTTGTAGGTACGGTGACCATCCGTTCTGTTTTTTGCAGGACCGTACTGTTATTTAAAGGTCTGTCCTGCATAGTTTTTCAAAACAGAAACCCCCCAAAATGTACTGATTTTTTCCAAGTGTCCTGCCTTTTTCCCGCATTTTCTTCGATATTTTAAAATTAACTTTTCCTTATCGAAATAAAAGCAGTGTCGATAACTAATTGATAACTACATAAGGGTAAGTTAGTTTTGAAGGTTCAACCAGTCAATGCGTTCTAAATATTGTACGGTTATGGACAATGGATGACGAGAAATTGAAGACCAGCATTAAATATATCGATAACACTGTTCTACAAATTTTGTGGTAATCGCTTCAGAAAAACAATTATTTTCCAAGCCAATTTTCCATTCAAACAAGCCCTTTCGTAATATTTTTGAAAAACGTGTTTTTGGTACATTTCGAACCTATTCTTCAATTCTCATGAAAAAATTATCCAATCAACATAAGCGACCTACAGTCCTCTTCCAAAAATGTATTACTTTGCCGATTTCGATGAAAATTATTAGTGTTACAAGCGACCAAAATCGAAAAATTTAAATTTCAATCATTTTCTTTTTACTGTAAATGAAAATCCGATGAGAAATGTAGATATTACGGAACACAATCTGCACAAAAAGTATATATTTTTGCAAAAAGCCCATCAATACCTTTCGCACTGTTGGTCGTTTCATGAGATATTGAAGAATAACTGAAAAAGTACTAAAAATACGTTTCTTTTGAACAAATCTCGAAAACACTTCTTTGAAAGCATGGGTATTTTTTTCAACGACCCAAAGTTTGCCTAAAAAATTTACTTTACAGAGGTTCA